TACATGTCGTTCTTTAAGGTAATGTCTCAAATTTATTACATTTAATTTTCAAAAAAATATTATTACATAACCCATCATTATCTTTCAAGAATTGTATTGGAGCAATCAATGAAATACACATTGATGCACGTGCTCCAAATAATGAGAAAATCATATTCATCGGCCGTTGCAGGTCCCCGACGAAAAATTTGATGGTCGTATGCGACTTCAACATGTGCTTCACTTTTGTCATGATCGGTTGGGAGGGCGGTACACATGACAGTAGAATTTTCAAAACTGTAACACGAAATAATTAGTACAACTTCACACATTCTCCTATAGGTACGCTTGAAACTCAACTATTCTCTTAATTCAGTTTTCCTTCAATACTAATCATGCAATGCATATCAGGTAAATACTACTTTTTTTATGCTGGATATATGTTACAACAAGGTTATTTCAAGCCCTATTCAGATACGAGATATCACATATATGACTTTGAGCAAACAAGCAATGTAATATGAGGTCGAAAAGAAATGTTCAATAAAAGACATTCCTCCTTACGCGGTGTCATTGAGAGGACTTTTGGTGTTTGAAAGAAGAAATGGGTTATACTCTACGATATGTTATCTTACCAATTTCCTAAATAGGTGCAGATTATGATTGCCACAATGACTCCATAATTACATTTGACGACATCCTTCCCATAACAACTTTGATTTCCGTAGGGCGGACGAAGATCATGAGCATCTACCTGTCGAGAAATTTCAGTATCATCTTGGAAATTCTTTGTCATATATTGAGAATGATGCATCCACCATCTGTATTAAAGACGGAGAAGATGCGAGTGAGATGACAAATTGAGGAAACAAATTACGGATGTAATAGAAGAGGGTGATTGAAGTATTTATTATATTATTATTTGTACTTTATTTAATACTATTTGTTTTTTTTTCAGTTTATGTATATTTTTTTCTTGTATATTTGATATTGATTGTTTAGACTTTTTGCACTATTTATAAGTGTTTATTTTCCGTTTGCATTTCATTTATTTTTCTTTTGGTGAGTTTGAAAGGTCCATGATGAGACGTTTGATCTTATGAGTTTTTCTAAACTGTCTGTTTGTCGGTATTGGTTGGTGTTTTGGTAATATATTTATGTGACATACATGAGCTTTGGTATTACATGGATTAAAGACAACCAAAAACCCTTTTTTACAATGTTTGTTGTCTTCTTATAGTGACAGATTTGTTGTTTTATATACCGAGTTTTCTGACACCTTATGCATGCGCAAAACTGTAATTAATTATTTCTTTTATCAATTTGTATTTGTTTATTTTATACGGTTCATGTTTATTTTCATTCCTTGTATATTTGATATTGATTGATTGAGTTTTTTATGCTATTTGTAGGTTTTTTTTTCCATTTGCATTTCATTTGTTTTTTTTTTTTTGGGTTTGAGAGGTCCATGATGAGACTTTTGACCTTATGTGTTCTTCTGACGATCTGTTTGTTAGTATTGGTTGGTGTTACATATGAAATCCTATTGAAAACAACTAAGTTTCTCTTTTTTTCCTTTGACGATACTGTTTTTGAAGTTGCTCTGGATGACCTTTTTTGGTGATATGCATATGTGACACACACGAGCTCGGTATTATGTGGTTTAAAGACAACAAAAAACCTTTTTTTTACAAGGTCTGCTGTCCTATTACAATGACAGATTCGTTAATTGGTATAATGAGTTCACTGAGACCTACATCTTCAAAAAACTATAATTAATTACTTCTTTTATTAATTTTAACTTATGTTATGACTGATAGATTGTTTTTTAAAGCATTCAGAAAAGATGAGCTCTACGATTTCTGCGTTACCGAAGATTTTTGTGCCATTGTGGACTTTAGACTTCCCTGCTGACTTCATATCAGCCATATAACTACGTGAGACAATTCTATAGGTGTTCGCGGAGAATCACAGAGAAGTGTTACTTTTTTCATTGGACGGACAGTCTGATAGATTTCACTGCCGAGAGTGATCGTGAATAGATAGTATCCTTCGAGGACGGCGTAGCTCATGACATACGTTGTCTACGTTTTAAAAATGATATTATCATATAATTAAATGTTAGTATAATAGTTTTTTTCTTTATTTTAGTAATCATGATACTCATTTAAGTGGGATGTATATGCTATTTTTTGTACTGCTCTGAAGTAGATTTTTACTTTTCAAGCATCAAATATTGCTATGAGAGTCCGATTATAAATAACATTAATATGCAGGGGCATAATAGTCATTTGTTCAGAAATAGCTGTCGCACTGCTGTTTCCAAACTGTAAAAAACAAATAGCCAACTAGCTTATCCGCAGCTGCTTCTGCGCAGCAGCTTCCTGTGGCAGTTGTTGCGCAGTAGCTTACTAATAAGATGCAGTTGTCCTAAACAGACCCATAGACAGAAATGCATGAAATGAAATTTTACAGAATCAATAAAATCTTTTAATAATCTTTTATCAATAAAAAGTATTCCATCAACTAATATAAAGGAAATAATCAACTAAAATGTAATAACCTAGAATCCAATATATGTTTAAGCAAAGACGGATAACTTGACAAAAATTATGAATAATAAAATAATATTTATTGCTAAAAAATCAACTCATGCAATGACTATCCATCAATCAACTTGGTAAAGTCTAAGTAGAAAGTTAACAAAAAATGAGTATGCCATACAAACTTAATTTATTTTTCTATTTATAAAGACTTAAATGACAAAGTTCAATATATTGTTAATAAAAGAGAGTATTGTTTGCAGTTCAATATTGATGTAATAAATGTTCCCATGGCCTTAGATTAGAGCAATATGTGACATGTCTTGAATGATAAAATTCTCAACTACTTTACGATTATTTATAATGCACTTGTTATTATAGTCTTTTGTAAGAAAAGAGCGATAACTGATTTTTTTATGAGCTAACACATTTATTTGTGGCAACAAATATATATTCAATATATCCTAATATAATTAATCAAACATGTATCATAATATCTTAGATATATAGTCGGTGTCACGTAACCCTTAATGAGAGGATGGTTTTACCTAATGGATTCTAATGATGTCCACAAGAATTGGCGCCACATGGTCTTTGTTAGTCTAGCTAGCCAATCATGTTACTAACAGGCTACCACAAAAATCTTACCCACAAGCATGACATTTTATATGTTATGAGTATATGCTATAATGATTTTTCTATAAACAAGTATAATGAAAATTTATTAATTGTCAAAATAATACAATTTGCATGAACATGATTTGTTTCACACTACGGAAAGTTATTTCTATATATTAGCTTACGCCATCCCAACCTGCATTTCAGGAGGAAAGAGTTTATGCATCAATCACTATTGCAAGGCTATCTTACACATCACAGCATTAAATTTCCATGTGTGGAAGGCATGTTTGAATGTGAAAAACATGCTTGGCAATCTGTTAAACAAACAAAGCATCAATGATAACACATCTAGTAAAGAAGATTACATTTATCTATTAAATATATGCTAACTAGTGTTAAGTATAGAGAATCAAATATAATACTTTCATGTCCTAAAGAAATAACACCAGATGAACAGTACCCTTAAAATTGATATATAAATAAAGACAAACATTTTATCAATGTTATAATTGTAATTTCTATCTAAAATTTAATCATAACCTAACTTATGTGATCAATTCCCATATTAACCTAATCAATTACAGATTAGTACCGTAAAAGATTTAATTAGATTGAACTAAATAAAAACAGCTATTTTACCAAGTTAAGTTGTAAGAAGTCAATAGTAGCAATGCAAAAAATTTTATGAAACATAACAATTTTTTCCATAAATTGCAATGAGGCTGAAGGAAATGATGAAAATTAAAATTTTCATAAAATTTTATGATAAAGTCAAAAGTAAGAGGGAAAGAATATGATGAGGTTAACACAAACTCTCTTAAAATTAATGAAGCTGATCTCAATGAAAAGTTCAGGTTGTTGCTTTTAGCTGTCGGAATTTAGAGACTGGATAGAATGACAATTGTGTTTTGTGGAGAAACTTGCTGCATTTGTGAAGCAGGGAGGAGGAAGCATGCATCCGAGAGGAAAATCTTGAAGGAGAGGCTCGATCTGCAGATTTACGGTTTTAGTCAAAGGAGAAAGCAAATAGTATGAATACTAATTTTATTAATTAGTTATGGTTGCTGGAGGGTGAGACGTATGAGAAATAATACTGTTACCGTTAAAGCACAATACATACACGTGGAGACTTCAGCATAAATCCGTAAAGGGTGTTAAATCTGAAAAGCCTTTAGAAATCGTACTTCAGTTGTCCGTAAATTGTCAGCATTTTAGTCCTTTGGCTTAAAGCAAGTAATGTTTCTGATCATCCAAACATGAATTAGGAACAAATATATTATCCATGAGTACTTCTCAAAAAATTCTACGACAGATCATGAGAAATTTATATTTATGTTAGGATTAATTCCAACTTAGATTATTATTTAAATTCATCTTTCCTATTATAGCACCATGTTACATGTGGCTGCATGATAGGTGGTGATATCATTGCAATAGACAGCAAAAACAGAAACAATGGAATGGCTTCAATGCCGAATCTAGCTCCACAAACATCAGCAATGTTTAATTTTTCCGGCTTACTGCTAAGGATGTGTAGTTTCACATGCCTTGCATAACAAGAGAGTTAATGTCCTTTTAAAGTTTGTTTGCTTTTTGGTATTTGATGGTTTTTCTAGGGCTTGAGGCAAATTTGTCTCAATCTTTGAATGAAGATAACACTTTGGTTTTTCAAATCTTGAAGGAAGTGTCTCCTTAATTTTTGAATTAAAATGTTATTTTTTGACTTTCAACAATGTCAGTTTAAAATTTGTGGAGCTTTTATTTCCCAAATTTGTTCATTGATAATCAACTTCTTGATTTAAGTCTCTGTTCAGTGGAAGTGAATTCATGCATTGATAATTGACTTGGTGATTTCAGTCTCTGTTCAGTGGAAGCGTTTATCTACTAACAACGATCCTCCTCCTACGAGAGCCTATCACTCCATGACCTGTATTGGTGCACGTTATCTTTTATTTGGTGGCTTTGATGGGAAAACTACATTTGGTGATATATGGTGGCTGGTTCCAGAAGGTATTCATGGTTTAGGTGTAAAGAAAGTTTTTTTTTTTTTTTTTCTTCTGTTTTATTGCTCTTGTCAGTTGACATTCTGTTAATTGAAGCTATATGTATGAAAAGAACCTTTCGGATCCTCTATTAGGCATTGAACTATCTAAGCACCACTTACATGAAAGTATAATTTACTTCTTTTTCTTATTCCTTTAATATTCGGTAGATCCTAATCTGAAAGTTTACAAAGTACTTTGTTGCTAATGGTATTTTTGTTTAAAAATAGAGTACAAATTAAAGAGGTGCTTATTTGGGATGTATAATATTTTGGAAATAGTTTTTGGCTCTATATGTACTTTTATTAGTAAATTCTTGTGCTTTGGCGTGGTCTCCATATCTTCAGACCCTAACCTACAATTTTTGGCATTTTTGTTAATTTATTTAGCCAGTGTAGTTGTGAATATAATCTACTTCTCCACTAGATTTTACATCAAGCAAACAGGTATGAGTAATTTGAATAGAATAAAAATATGAAGACTAATCCTTACCTTTTACTTTATTCTTCAAGATGACCCTATTGCCAGACGGCCTCTTCCACGTCTTCCAAATATTTCTTCTGAGAGTGAATCCATAATTTCAAATCAGTCAGCACAATCTGTGCTACAGGTGATGCTGACATTTCTTGAACATGAACTAGGTCGACTGTTTGAATTTTTTCTTTTTCGTTGTATGAATCTTCCCTGAGAGTGAGTAGAGGCACTTTTAGGCACGTTGCTGTAAATTGAAACGCCACTTTATCTCGTGTAGGAAAATCTACTAGGCCAAGATGCGGTTTTAGAGTTGCAAAAAAAGTTGGGAATTTCAATTTCCTCCTCTGATGCTCAGATAAAGGTTGTTGATGATGTGAATGACAAAGAACTTTTGGAGTTATCTGCCAAATTAGCTGGAGAAGTGCTTCCTGCCAGTGATCACGCTGTGTCCATACAGGTTACCTTTTGCTATAAAATGATGTCATTTAGTATTTATTTGTTTTTAGTTGGTTTGAATTTTGTTTTCTCATGTGGTTCTCCAGGCACCACGTGAGCACTGGAAGGATTGTGCTCCAAATTCAATACAACTGCATGAGCTTGATGCACTACTTCGGGACTACCAACGTCTTATAATCAATCAACACAAGTGAGCTTCTTGTGGTCAACTAATATCCTTGCTCAGTTTTTACTTTTGACATTTGAGGCCCCTTCCTTTGTGGAACCAATATATGTACAATGTCTACATACTAATATAAATAAGCATTTAAGTATTAATCTCAATTTAAAAGATTACACTCATCAATATTAAAAAAAATGCTTGTACTCTTAATGTAATAACTAAACCCTAAACTCTAATTAAATTACAATAGGGAAATCAGTGTGGAACAGGCACTTCGAGAATTTTATTATTATATTGGCGAGTAAATGATCACGTGAATATATGTATTTATTTTAACTAGTTTCAAAATCTTTTTGAACTCCACACAAGTAATTTAGGGGCAATGGGTAAATGATCATGTGAATATGTGTATTTGAATTATAAGCACAATGATTTTAGTTGATTTCACTACCTAAGATTGTAAGATTAATCTAATTAAACACCAATATTCACAAAATGTGTCCAAATACAAATATTATGTTGGTGATTATCATACATTTTAGAATAATTAACTAATTAATATAGAAGTGATTGATTTATTTCTATGTAATGACATATGTATGATATTGGAAATAGGTGGAACTCAACGGAAACACAAAAAACAAACTTTTATTAATACTGAATTAGGGTTACAACCCAACACAAACGGAATGGGAAAACACAATAACAAATAATACTCCGGCTAGGGCCGAAAGGAAAGATCTGAGGGCGGTGACCATGGGGCGATGGTATGAGGAAAGGATGGTGGTTGTGAGGTCAGTTAGGAAGGGGTTTGGTAATGATTTGGGAGGTCAGTAGAGGACTGAGACGAAGGGGAAGTGGCTGGACAACCGGAACTGCTGCAGAAAAATGGCGGCTGCTGTCAGAGGAGGGAGGAGAAGGGATGGTAAAAAGGAATGATACAACACCATCTTAGAGGAGGATACAGTCAGAGCACCACCATCTCCTCGGAAACAGTCCTAGAATAGGGAATACTTATCACACTAGAAATCTGAAAATAGAACACAACAAAAGCTGCCTTAGAATTGCCAAAATATCTCCCTTATGGGTAGAAGAAGAAAAGGAAGGAGGAGAGGGGCCGGTGGCAATCCTGCTGTAGGCTGCTCAGCCTGGGTTCACCCTAGACCGGTCCAGTGCCTACTACTCCTGCCCGTGCGACAATGTTCTGCACCCGCTTCAGTTTCCTGGGGTTAGGGGAGCTTCGACATCATTCGTCGAGGCTTCTGGTTCTTGTCTTTGGAAGACTAGACCTCACTAAAAATGAGGTCAACACTATGCCGGTATTGTCATTCCACAATGCACATCCTGAGCGGGAGCTGCATATCAGGAGGGTTCTCGCAATGCAACTCTCGAGCCCTTACATTTGAAATCTTCGTCTTCCAATTCACGTGCCCAATATGCGGTGGTAGAGTAACAAGTATGTTGGTAGAACATAATTCTGGGAGGAAATCTATGGCAGGTTGTGCCACTCTCATTAGTGATCACTTAGAAGAAATATCTTTGGTGACACGACTTGGATTCCATTGAAGAATTTTCACCCTTCTTAGGCTTCTAGGGCACATTTCAGAGTTGAGATTCAACCCATCTGGAAATCTGCTGACGGGTACCCCGCTGAGCTGACTCTTACATAAGATCTACTAACTGTAATAGTCCAAGCATGAGACATAATGACTCCTTTTTGGACATTGTTAGACCTCCAACTGTAGGTTCAACTTAGGAGGAGGTCTATAAATCTTAAAGATCTGTCTTGCTCTTGTCTGTGTGGGCCTTGTGTCTGATGTCAACTTCTCAGGCTCGTAACTGCATTGGTCACATACAATGAAGTCGGTTGGAGTCTTTTATGAGCTTAATTGGGATAAGTGTATCTTGCCCTCAACTGAAAATGAGTTCTTATCGTTTATGTCCTCACCATCTTCAGTGTCTGAGGTGACTTTATCCAACTTTTCAATGACGTTCTGCTCGGTGATGTATATCACTCCCTGGGTTGTACATTCTGTTTCAACATGTCCAAATCCATGACACCTATAACATTTTCTGGCTATAACAGACTTGCAAATTAGTTTCGCTGGATAATAGCCAGGGGTTCGCTTGGTGCTACGCTCTCCACTTCGGAAGCTAGAGTCTGCAACTTTTGACAGTAGTAAGTTGATAGGAACTGACGCTGTGTTTCCCGCTTCGACCTTTTGGGTCACTGTCGAGGGTGGACTCCCATTGGATTTCATCATCCATGTCCGTAACCCACTGCCTAAGTCGGCGGATCTCTTGCCGTTTATCCTCCTGGGAAGACTCTGGTATGCATCTCAATGGTGGCATGACTACGGTTTAGACTTGGGAGGTGTGAGGGCTAAAATTTAATTTAGGGTTGCTGATTTTGAAAATCAGTAAGAGGAATGGAGGGTTAGGTCAAAATTTTGGCTATGGTTGGGAATAGAAAAGAACAAAATTTTTATGGGGAGTGGCTTGGTAAGGGGTGGATGCTAGAAAACTATGGTATATAACTAGGGTTAAAATAGCACTGATACCAAATATTACCGGAAATAGGTGGAATTCAGCGAAAACACAAAAATCAACTTTTATTTGTACTGTTAGGGTTACAATCCGACACAAACAGAGAGGGGAAACACAATAACAAACAAATCTTTGGCTAGGGTCGAAAGAGAAAATCCGAGGCGGGGTGAAGGTATGGGATGGGTTGATGGTTGCGAGGTTGGTTAGAAAGGGGTTTCGTGGTGATTTGGGAGGCTGATAGGGGGATTGAGACAAAGGGGAAGTCTCTGGACATCTAAATTTGCTACAAGAAAGTGGTGGCTAGTGTTAGAGGGGGGAGGAAAAAGGATTAGGGATGATAAAAAGGAAGGATACAACACCACCTTGGAGGAGGATACAACCAGAGCACCATCGACTGTTCGGACACAGCCATAGAATAGGAAAAATTTTTCACACAGGAAATCTGAAAGTAGTGCACATCAAAAATCGCTCTAAAGCTCCCAAAACAACACATAAATTATCTCATATGAGTAGAAGCATACTAGGAAACAGAAGAGGGGTTGGTGATAGTCCCGCCCTGTCTAAATCTCGCCTTAGGCCGCTACGTCTGGGTTCACCCTAGACCTGTCCAGTGCCTACTGCTCCCGCCCGAGCAGGAGTGTTCTTACACCCACGTCAACGTGTGCATTCCAAATTTTAAAAAATTATTATTATTTTTTAATTATAATACGGGGAGTGGGTGGCTTGGGGGTGGGGGCCACAAACCCCTTTCTCCTATGTGCTTGCCCATGACGTGCATGCAAGGGGTCCATGTTGCCCCAATTTTATTTTGAGAAAGTAAATCTCCTATGCACCCTTGCCACCACTTGTACATGTTATTTGGGTATGACAGAAATGTTTCACTTATAATTTTTTTGTGCAGGTAGACCTATGTTTGCCATTTTTGGTTCGGTGGTGCGAAGACTAACACCTTTTTTTATCGTGGTGAGTGTTAAAGATCTTAGATTATAAGCATTCAAATGTGATGTTCTTTACATGGCGGGAAATATTCTTATAAATTTTTATGTAGACATACAAAGACATCTTTCCTAGTGCGTTGGATGTTAAAAATCCCAATCGTGTTATCTCTGATAGCACTCATATATTTATTCTCAATGGCGCCACTTATAGAAGAGATATTAGGATGTTGCTGAAATTTTTGGTGAATGAACTCTCAATTTTAAAAAAAATAAATGAATACTTACACTTAAAAATTTGTTAGACCTAAAACTAACATTACAAAACATCATTAATAAATGAAATATTAGTTGTGTTAACAAATTGAAAATATTAAAATAAACAAATTGAGCTCATAGGGGATTCACGAGGAGCATGAAAACTGGCCTACAGACAAAATTAAGAATCTTCTAACTGCATTTAAAGTACTCTTGAATTTTCAAAACTTTTATGCACACACTCTATAGATTCATCTTGGGATGCAAATGGGCTAGGGTGGATTCGTATTTATCGGCTAATAATGATCCCCTATGGGGCCCACTTGAGGAGCAATTGTTTTAAATATTAGCTATTGTCATTTTAATACACTCAACAAACGTTAGGCCCTTAATGATCACAACTGAATCTGCATCTAACATATGAAATTGGACAATATATGATCAATAATGGTCCTAAAATGCAATGTTGTGCTTGTGTTTTGACGACTGTATGTTTAAATGATTGATCACCATGACTAACTTTGCGCTCATTGGAAAGATATATATTTTTTTCAACTGAAATCAACTAGTATATTGCGTGTCAGAGGTGGTACTGTTACCCTAAAATGATGCATCCATTAACCACTAAGGACAACTTGTTAATGTCTTCAGCGTTATTGTGCTCTCGTGAGCAACATTATATATTTGCAAATGAAAAGTATTTATATTAGATCAGTGGATGACCATTGTTTTTTATGGGTCGCATAGTCATTTTGACAATGCATGCAAAGGAATTAAGTTGTCTGCATGTGCTTCGAATAATTTGTTAAATGTTCAAATTTGATAGCTTAGGAATGCTGTGCAGATAAACGATAAAACACAAACAAATTTTTATATGCTATGAAAAACATGATAAGTGACATAATACATGGTCTAGGAATACTGATTGAATAAAATAAATTTTAATTCCAATTGCTTTTGTTTTGAGAGAAGTGCAGATACTTTGAACAAACTAAGTTTTTAAAAGACGTAAATTCTTTTTTTCAAAATATAATTCAAAATCTATCAACATATGTATGTTCTCGAACGAGCTATTACTTTGATTCTTCATATCATGAATATTGGTGTTGGCAAAACTTGTGTTACATAATGATATGTGTATTCATAGTTTTAGTTGTATGCAACCAACTTGTTATCAAGGCTCTTCAGTGAATCTCATAAAAATTTATTATATCAATCGTAGCTTTCGTTTGGGGAGGAAAAATTTTTAATGCATTATTTAGGGCGCACATACACACACACACACATGGAAATCAATCCCTCTTTATTTACGTACTTACCAAACATATCTCACCTAAATTTGGAAAGAAAATAATTTTAAATAAAAATTGAAAAATATAAAATAGTGAGGAAATAAATCAATCAAAGTTTTTTTAGGATATCCTAATGAAATCTTTCGATATTTGGAGTTGGTGGTGGCTTATATGAGACGTAAATATGGAATGAACCAAATCTTCTCAAATTTTCACTATTCCTCAAGATGTGTCGTAGATGTTGTAGAGACCGAACTTGATATTAAGTTCGACGTGCTGGAAGAAAGAGCTTTGGGGAAGAAATTAACAACTTGTTTGTGTCATGGGATATAACTTAGTTGTATAATTCCCCCATTGATTTTCTTAGAGTTGAAGTGTCTATCAAAGTCGATATGCTTGGACATGTAATGATGCACACAATTCTTGACAATACTGTTAGTTGCTTGACCGTCACAAAAATCTATATTGGCTGAATGGAGTTACATTTAGTTCTCTTAACAATTTCTAAATTTGGATCCCTTCATAATCCCCTAAGGCTTCTGATTTTACATTGCTTCTCAAAATAACAATTTGCTTCCTTTTCCCAACCAACATCAATGTAAACTTCCACAGCTTTGTTTTTGGTTTTCTCAAAAATTAATCTATAACTATGAGTCGTTTTTAGAAACCTCAAAATCCTGTATACCATGTCCAAATTCTATTTATTTGGGCTTATTCATTTGTTGGCTCGCAATACTGATAGAATATGTCATATCTGGCGTAGTATGTGATAAATAAGTATTCCCATAAATTTTTGTTATTTTCTCTTATGCACAGATATACTTTCTTCTTTTCTGTCCGACTTTTTGTTGGGTTTCATCAGAGTATCAACAAATTTGCAACCAATCATCCCTGTTTCCTTTAGCACATCTAGGATGTATTTTCTCTATGATATAATAACCCCTTTCCTGGACCTTGCTACCTCCGTACGTAAAAAATATCTCATGTTTCTTCAGTCTTTAATTTCAAACTCAATGACAAACCCTTCTTTGATTTTATAAATATTTTTTCAAAATGACTAGTAAGAATGATATCTTCCACTTTAACAATCAGTGCAACAATCTTATTTGAATTGTGTTTTATGAATAATGTGTGATCAATTACTTTGAGAATATCCACCAGATTTCATAAAATTTTCAAACATGCCCTTGATGATTGCCTAAGCACATAGAGAGACTTCCTTAGTTTGCATACTAGGTGTTTGTTGGAGTCATTTTCAAGTTCTGATTGCATATCCATGTATACTTCTATATCCCTATTCACGAAGGAATTTTTATGTCAAATGGATGCATTTCCCATTCCTTTTTGACTGCTACTGGAAAAAGAGTTTGATAGTATTCAGTTTGACAACTGATACAAATGTCTCTTGATAGTTAATCTCATAGACTTTTGTGACAACAAGTCTAACTTTGAATATCGCAACACTACTGGCAGCTTTGTATTTGATGTGGAATGCCTATCTGCATCCAATTGGCTTCTTATCTTGAGCAAGTCTAATAAGAGTCTATGGGCCATTATATGCTATAGTGCTTGATATGACTTACATTTATGATATTTTCCTCATTAGTTCCATATTTAATTTTTTTATTTATCATGATTTAATGCTTGTAAAGTCTATATTTGTTGCCTTTTGCATGTTACAGGTGTCGTGCGCGCTTCACGGAGCCAAAACACAGTTGCAAAATTTAAAGGACCTACATAATTATGCTGGGTCCTTTGGTTGGCTTTTGCATACCTATGCTAGGCATGCCATAGCTATGTTGCTTCTAGCGTAGCTACACCAACGTCCTTCCAGATGCGTATTTTGGCAAATTTGACATGTTTGGAGGCTGTTTTGAAGCCCTTATCTTTGTAAGGAGATGTATGAAGACCAAAACAATATTTTTGTCCTTTGGGGATTTACCTCTAAGGTTAAAGAGAGTCTTTAGGGCTCTAGGATTTCTCTCTAGGGTTTGCTCGAGAGAGCTTTTGCTATTTTCCTCGTCATGTTTTTCTGTTGAGAGTTTGGAGGTTGAGGAGAGATTGAGTGCAATTATATGAGGGAGATCTATGAAAAACTTGAATTGAACGGGGAGGATCACAGTGTATTGTAAAGACTGCTTGACTCGGTTGTGAGTTTTTTGTACCTCTTGCATTGTTTTTGTTTTTATGCCTGCAATAACAATTTTCGTGCTTTCTTTTCGCATGCATCATATTTGATCTCATTTTTGTACTCCCATAATGTAAAATATGTGCTTTTGTCATTGTTTTATCCTATGGATTCTGAACCTTAGACATTTTCTCTATGCTTGGATTTCATATGTTGATGTGTTAACTTTCCAATCTTAAATTACTTTTAATATGACCTAATAGACTGTTAAAACTCATTGTGATCTAGGGCTTCTAACCATTTTCTAGAAGAATAAGTATGTTGACATACAATAGCCTGATGGAATAGACATATTGCCAATAGGAAAATGCAACCTAAAATGGGAATATTGCTTGGTTAAGCTCCCTTAACTGTAATATGATTTCCAAAGTTTCATATGACCTAAACATAGGCTATGGAGGATTTGTCCTTGGTTGTAACAATAATATGGGATTTTATAGGAAAAACATCGAAAAATCACTAAACCTCTGCTGTAAAAGTATGAATCTTTCATCTCTTAAAAACTTCAACAAATTTTAGTTTAGTTTTTTGCCTTTTAGGATTTTAACATTTTCAATTTTTGCACAATGACATTTCAAACTAGGTTCAGAGTTTAGTAAACTAAAGATTTGCCTGTTAGAATATTTTAACAACTTTTGTCTTGTGTTCGATATGTAAACTTTTTATCCATATATTACTTGATTGACACGTTTGCTTGTGTTATTGATTGATTGCTTCGCAGTAGTTTTGTGCGTCAAGTTTTTTTGGCATCGTTACCGAGACAATGAGTCAAAATTTTTTGATTTTAGAAGAATTTTAGTTGAAATACGTAGAGTTTTAGTTTGAACTGTTTCTTGTTTTACTGTTTATTTGCATTTTTGTTATAATTCTGTTTCGTTTATATTTTTGAAAAATAAAAAAAAAGAAAAATTGTTTACTTCTTTATTTCTGTTCTTGTGATTGTATATTATTTTTTTCAGTTGTTATATTGTCCATGTGTTTTTCTTACTTTTTTTACCTATTATTTTCTCCATTCCTGTTTTAGAATGGGGTCACCCTTTGCAGATCTGTCGTTGCATGAGTATGAGTAACTTAGGTGAACTGTTGCTCTTCGACCTTAAGTAAAATAATAATAATAATAATAATAATAATAATAATAATAATAATAATAATAATAATAATAATAATAATAATAATAATAATAATAATAATAATAATAATAATAATAATAATAAAACACTTAGAAATCACAAACCCTCAAGAATACGATCATAAACCTCTAATGGAGTATGCCATCCCATCGATTTCTGAAACTAACAAAACAACGTCATAGAAACCCTTAATTTTGAACTTCAGTTTGAGCTCATCCTAATGATTTAGACAAACCAGTTTGGGGATGACTTACAGAAGATCCATACCTTCGTTTGGCTAGCTTATTTGAACTGTGTGCCACCTTCAATTTTAGCATTGTCTCCGACAATTTTGTTAGATTATGCTATTCACTTTCTCACATAGGGATAAAACCAATGTGGCTATACTCTTTAGCACCAAGATCGATCGCTACTTAACAATTTAACCCAAAAATTTTTGGTCCAATACTTTCCTCTCTTTAAGATTGTCAAAGTTAGGAAAGATATCATGTCCTTCACCTAATCAGATGAATAGAATTTCTATAAAGCTTGTGAATTGCTCAAAAAACGGTTTAGTGAGTGCCCACATCATACCTATCTGATTAATTGATTATCCATACTTTTTATGATGGGTTGGTGGGATTATTTAAGGTTAATTATAGATGTTGCAAGTGGAGGTCCATCTTCACATTATTTAAGGAATACTATTGAATAAGAAAATCTCCACAAACGATTTTCAATGGTCATTTCAGAGAGTTACCCATAAAAAAATAATTTGTGGGCTTAAGATTGATGTGCTAACTATCTAGGCTTCACAAATTACTGAAATTTCGTGGAGAGTAGACAACTTAGGAATGAATTCGGTGTCAGGATCCCTACTTAGTGACAAGATGGCTTATGGACTAGTAAGTGATTCTAACACCACTTCCCCGGATGCCATCAGAATTAGGTGCAACAAGCCTTATTTTAACACTTACAACCTAGGATGGTTGAATTATCTAAACTCCAATTAAAACAATAATAACCTAATTGTAGGATACCATAAATGGGGGAGCACCCAAGCCAATACTATAGAAAATTGGAACAAACAGGCAGTGAAAAACTTAGAAATTGCTCATTTGGATTCAATTCTATCCCCTAATTTAGGGAGAAACAAAATTGATGTAGAAGATAGCTTTAGGTAGGAGAGTAGTTATGTAGAATTAGATCATGAGCCTGAAAAATCTAGTGAGAATCGAGCAGTCTTAGAAAATCCCGACTCACCTCATAAAGAACTATTTCTTGCAAATGGTGGGGCAAATAGTGGTTTGCGAAAATGGGAGTTAATTGGGAGAGCTCTTGATCTAGAAAACACTCTCAGGAATGGCATTCTGATTCAACCCTCTACCTATCATCTGCAAGTCTGTCATCGAACTTAGAGTGAACTGCGAAAATACTGAAATACGAGGATTTAGTGAAAAATCTAGTACAAGCAAAAGATTGAGAGATTGATCAAGGATTGTTGAAAATGGTTTTTGTTCCAGGAAGAATGTTATGATTGATTTGATCCTAAGGTTTGAAAACAGAGAGGGGAAACACAATAACAAACAAATCTTCGGCTAGGGTCGAATCAACCAAGTGCAGATGATGTTAAACCAAGTGCTTCTTGAAAGACAACTCATGCTTCACCGTGTGTTTCAACATGTTTTTGCTTTGCATTTGCTTTAAACTTTGCTTTGAATTTGTTTTGAGTTTGTTTGGTTGCCTTTGTTTTGGTGGAATCTTTACCTTAGTTGATTGATATTATCATATTTGAACTTTTCGTACCATTACTTTGATGTAAATTGATATTCCCTTTCGGGAATGTGTTATTTTGCACCCATCGATCTTCATGTGATGATATTTTGCTATGCTGAATTTTCTGGCGTTAAATTCTCTGTATTACATGTGGTGCTCCATTTTTTTCTTGCAATTTTTTCTATGGTATGCATAGGATAAAAAATCGCTTGAGGTAGAGAACTAGACATGTATATTTGCCTTAATGTAATTTACATAATTGAGCTATTGATTATACTTCAAAATAATGACTCATGATAAAAATTTTGATTAGTTAACGTGGATTAGATAATGAGTTTATTAGAATTGTGGATAGAATTGTGGATACTTATTAAAGGGTGGGTTAGAATTGATTTTATGATAATTGAATTTTTCATTTTAATAACTTCTATTTGACTACTAAAAAGTTTAAAAATAATTAAAAATGTATAATTTTTTTGGGCAGCTACAACTTATTAAAAAGCTGTTGCGCAACAATTGTGGCAGAAAAATGTTGCGTAGAAGTTATTGCGGAGAAATTGACTGTCTGTTTGTTTTTATAGTTTTGAACATCAGTGTGCAACTATTTATGAACAAATGACATTTCCTCCCCTATATTATAGTGTTGTTTATAATTGAACTAATTCTGCTAGCACATTTCATACTTTGAAACAAATATCCGTTTGAATGTTACAGAACAAAAATAGACCCCTCACAAAAAAGGAAGTAACACGACAATCAAAATTAAAAAAAATAACTATTAAAGTAATATTCAATAATATGAAGATATATATTTTTTTAAAATGCACTTGGTTTTTGCTCGAGACAAGCCGTCCTCCAAGGAAGCTCTCCACGCCCGATCACTATTGTTGATGGAATCCTTCAACCTATCCGCCCACCTAAAGAAGTCACAACTTTCTGTTTTTCTTCTTGGACATCTGTAAAACTGTCTCTCATAACTATGCGGCTGTCGCGAAGTAAGCACAAAATATTGTAGTCTACTGTAACAGTACAATGCTCTGGAGATATCGAAAATGCTCGAGCTCTTCTTTTTTGATGGTTTGAAACAATGCAACACAAAACCTTAGATGCAACATTAGTGAAAATGAATAATAGAAGTAATCAAATTATGTTTTTTGAAACTATGAGGTCTCTGAGAACACAGTATAAACCGACAAATCTGTCACTACAAGATGACAACAGACCTTACAAAAAATGGTTTTTGGTTGCCTTGAAAACACCTAATCCGAGTTCGTATGTGTCACATATGTATCAAAAAAAAAGTCATCCAAAAGAACCTCAAAAGCCATATGACTGAAAAAGGAGAGGCATATGTCTGCCTTTATTGGAAATTCATATGTGTCAATAACCAATAATAACATATAGGTCATACAAAAGAACCCTTAAGGTCGAATACCTAATCATAGACCCCCAAAACCAAAAAATAAACCATGCTATCTTTAGATTACATATTATATCCACAGATGTTTCATTGACCATCCAAGTAGGAAAGAATAAATGTATAAGAACTGAAAATTAAATTGAGATTCAAAATATACATTATTTGCATAGCACATCGATACAACAAACATTAAATGTTTTCATAACACATTGCAAATAGTAGCAATAAAAAAACAGGCAATCTCTTCATTTAGTCTCCAACTATGACATTTGTAATTCACTCACACAACTCTATCATCTCCCTTGCACCTTCCCCACCCTGGGTGAAGTCTCAGGTAAATCACTTTTAGCCTATGATAAAGATTGTCCTAGACGATATTCATATGCTTCAACAGGGATATGTGAATGATCTTCATCAACCCTATTGAAGTCAATGTCGTTGCATGAAAGATACAGTCGAATATAGTTGTGGAGAGTCATTGTGGTAACCACAATCTGCACTTTTCTAAGAAATAGATGTCGGCATATCCCGCTGTGTGACTCATTTTTTCTTTCAAACTCTAAATTTTCTTTCAATGATACGGTATAAAGATGAGTGTCTTTTGTTGAACATTTTTTTCTTATCCCAAGTGATATTACTAGCTCTCTCGAAATCAAG